TAAAAAAAAAAAAAAAAAAAAAAATTCTCAAAATTTGCTTTTTGGTAGCTTATATTCACAAGGTTAAACTATTTTTATACTGTTTATCATTTCTTTTTTTAGGAATTACCATGAAGTGTTTCTATTTTTAAGAATCTCGACCGTGGTAGAGAAATAAACTTTTCTTTTCTCGACCATGGTCAAAAGATAAGTAAACACTAGTTCTTGAATTTTCTTTCCACCAATATTGTTATTCAGAATTGCTAAAAAATTCAGAGAAGAATACCTCAAGAACCAGACTTGTCACCATCTCAATGCAAACATTGCCATCAATGTTTACTTTATGATGCATAATTTGCTCAAGTAACTGCTGTAAGCACTCATCAGGATGGACCAAATCACCTTCTGCAGTCCCCCAAAAATCAAATGACTCTCACTTCCTGTTAAAGCAAAGATATCAAAATGAATAACAAAAACTTCGCAAAGAGCATAGCAAAATTGCAAAGCAGAAATGACTCCTAGGCTCGACTGCGTATTTTACAATCTTTATCTGTTTCTTAAACATGTGGATGTGGACGAAATTCACTTGAATGAAGGCCTCTGGCTTTCGGCAGTTCTGTGTCTTTGACAATCTTAGCTTGCACCCTGCTGCAGTTTCACCATCTGTACAAGCAATAGTCTTAAAGACGTCTACTAAATTCATCCTATCATTCTTACAAAGTTCAGCAATCGTGCCTACACCAAGGAATACAACCTGAGGCTTTGATTTGAAGAGCCGCTTACGAGAAGGCTTGCTCTGTGCTACACGAACAAGGATATTTCCAGGATGCGTGTCAGCATGAATGAAATTGTCCACCTCACAAGTAAAAGAAAGAAGGAAAAATATCTAAGAAAACAGGTAAAAATCCATAGTTTTTCATGGGAATACCGTCATCTCATTCTAGCAGAGGTATTTATTTTTCAATTATTGGTCAAACAGTGAAGAGTATGCTGCGGCACTCCTAAAATGCTAACTAAATAAATGCAAAATCATTGGAAATGATCTCCAAGTGGCATTAAATCAAAGCCCTGATTGAGCATTAAACATTTTGTTCACACAAGTTGAGTATCCTCTCCGCGTTCCTGCAAAAAATAGTTTACAAGTCGAGAGCTTAACCCCTAATAATATATTCAATCTTGTTACTGCAAAACACAACCTAATGCATCAAGCAGACGGAAATCATTTATTCTTCATCAGATGAATATCTAAGTTATTCGTATTCTCTAAGTGATGAATCTACATAATAACAAGAAAAGGAAGGAAGCGGCATCTTATGAACTGCATATCACTGTATTATATAAAAAGACATGCTGTGAAATGAAACTACTCTGCAAACAGAAAATTCCAGGCAGTTCAACTGAGTTGTTGAGTGCAGCAACAATGAGAAAGGCTCAACTGGGAGCCAGGACATTTTACCTCTGTAAGGTTGGAATAATCCTAAATACAAATCAATAAAATAGTTCAAAAAGAATATAAAGATAGAGAAACATGCTTAATACCCTGTAAACTATCTCGAAGTGCTCAAAGAAGGCTTCAAGAGAGATGCGCCTCAAGGCGTAGCCTTGGCAGCTTTTCAAATGCCATAAGAAATTTTTAACATGATGAAGGAAAAAAAATTGCTGCAGCTAATTCAAATTGCTATAATCAGTGAAGCTGCAATAGCAATTTTCATCACATGAAAAATAAAAAAATAAAATCGATCATTTCTACCATAATACACCATATGAAGAAGTAAAAGGAAATTGTTGTGATTGTTATTACCAATTCGCAAGGCAAAAGAAACATTGAAGGCATAAACCAAAAAAAGAAAAAGATTAATGTGTTACCAGGAGCATCTTCAGTAGTACATTGGTTCCAATGTCTGCAAGAGCACTTTTGATTTGTTCATTTCCATGGGGCTCTTCAACATAATGCGAAACACTGTCACCGTGCTCAAAAGTTTCCACGAACGGCAGGATGTACTAGCGGGCATACCGGATTTGAGAAAGAAATGTCATTTGAACTGCGAAAATTATATATGACGCAACTCAAATGGGCAGCTTCTCGTGCAAGATCAGCTTGAGACATCATAAAACCGGAAACTGCTGGAGACACTCATCCAATCTTAACCATTACAATGTAGGAATGCAATTTAAAAATTTTTGCTATTATATTAATTATTTCGATATCTCTTTTCATTGACTCACCAAGTCCTGAATCTCTCACCTTCAGTGCAACAAGTATTGGTTTGATCTGACGACCTAGGTATCAATACCTCAAAGAAGCTCAACGCACTTGAGTGATGCTCCCAGATGCCACAGGTTCGTACTCAAAGTCATCAAAATTTTCAAAATTTTACAACCAAATGCTCTTTCAATAGTCCTTTTAGTGTAGTCAAAGCTATGTTCAGGTGCTTCTATTTGAAGCTTTGCAATTTCAATGCACAAGTCTCTAGGAAAGAGATCTGGGCGTGTGGCTGCCCACTGGCCCCATTTTATGAATGCTGGACCTGCCTTTTCTAGTGTTTGATGAACAGTGCAAAGCCACAATTTTCTAAACTCAGGACCCAAAGAATCAGCAAATGGTGCCATTGGAACGGTGGGTGAATAGAACTGCCAATACAGTGCACTCAACTACCAAAAAATCCCTTCCGAAGAGGTCAAGAAAACATACCCATCCTGAGCACTCATGTACAAATTATTCTTCGGCCAGAAGATATCTGTGTCTGACACTGTTTGAGCATGCTACCTTGCCTCCACAGGTTAGCATAAGAATGGCTCAATGTAGCTAACTGCTGTAGCAATCCTACTTATGGGTATTAAGACTTAGAGTTCCATCTTAAAAAGTCAACATTGTTAAGAGGAATGACTTAAGCTCTTATATGTGTTAAAAAAATATTGTTTGCACGCTAGAAAATGGAAAAGAAACAAAGAACAAGAAGAAGAGATAGAAAATGAAGGCTTAAACACGTAATCGTTGTCCTCAAATAATATTTGACCCCTCTCAGATTGAATTTGATGCTTAAAGGGATTTTAGCAAATGGTTTGCATGATTTATCAAGTTTTGTAAAGGATTTAACACTTAAACACTTAGTAAATCCTCCAAAACTTAAGAACACAAGACCAAGAATTTTGAGTATGATATAGAAGGATATTTTTATCTTTTTGTGGAATGATCTTTTATAAGCTTATAGTTTTCTCAAATGATTCTAACCTCTTTTGCTTTGATGATTGATCATTTATTTATAAGCCTCAATTAATACTTCACGAATTGGTGCCAAAACTTCACGAATAGATGCAAGACATCCTCCAAAAAGCCACCAAAACTTAAACAAAAATCGGTTCTAACGGCTACCAAAAGTGCTCTATGTAGTTGCATAGAACAAACCTATGTAACAGCATGGTTTGTCTAAAGGCAGGGCCTAAAGCCCTACAAATGACCATGTGACCGCACGCCTTTATGGCCTATGCGGTAGCATAGAACAAAATATTTGGCTTCGATCTCATTTTTTATTCCATACACGTTTTATTGATTTTTGAACAATATTACTCATGATAAGGATTAGATATCTTTCAATTTAAATCTAATCATAGGATAATTCAAACAAAACAAAAATATAGCATTGAAGCTTTAAACTAATTATTCCATGTGACAATACCGGTAAGAACACTCACACAAGTATCATGCATTCTTAAATTCCTCAATCTCGCTTAGTACTAATATAGTCTTGCGCTTATCCTTTTCACCAAATTTTTAAGAAAGAAACTGTAACTCTCTATTGATGGTACATCACCTCAAAGTTCATTTAGGTGAGTTCTTCCAGTATCTTTGTTACTTTTAGAGATACTTATATTTAGTATTGAACTTCATGAAGAGCTTAAACCTCAACCTTCATTTCAGTAACAACTAGTATTATTTAATTAGGATAGAGTTATCGCAAATTTAATAATGTTGAAACTATTCACATATTGAATGACTTGTTGTTACCCTTTGAACCCGTGGATTACTTGTTTATTTAATTAGGATAGAGTTATCGCGAATTTAATAATGCTGAAACTATTCACATATTGAATGATTTGTTGTTACCCTTTGAACCCGTGAATTACTTGTCAAGTAATAATAGGTCGGGTTGCCATCATTGGTGGACCTTTCAGTTCAAGAGTTTCAACCACATCCTACTCGAAGTAGATGTTATCAAATCTCTAATTAGAGCTTTAGTTAAAGGATCCGCTAAATTCTCGATTGACTTAACATAATTTAGGAAAATTATTTCATTCTTGATTAATTTCCTTATGTAGTCATGTCTAAGACTCATATGTATAAACTTTTCGTTATATACCTCATTGTATGTCTTTACTAATGTAGTTTGATTATCACACATGATAGGTATTGAAGATATATTCTTGGGTCCCAAAGGTAT